TACTTTCTTTCCTTTTTTCAATTACTTCTTCTCAGATTTACTGACTTGTAATCGTAACTTTTTCGACTTTTAAGATTTCAGTGTAAAATGCGAAAACTATAGAAAGAAACGATAAAATTTCGTCCGGCGTTTTTAACAAACTAAAGATAGACCTCACGTTACCTTTGGTAAACTCTGTTGCTATTTTTCCGCGTTCTTGTTGCACTTTATTTCTCGAAACGAAGCGCAGTTGAACAGTGATCTTTTCTTCGTCTCTTGATCTTCTCATTTGAAGTCTTCACTAACTGCATATTGTTACGTCATGATTGTTAACCACGCAATGGATTCGATCGCGCGCGCACGACGCTCGTCTGTCTCCGAGTCGATCCGAACCAAGGTGAACGTTCACGGAGACGTAAAAAAAAACGAAGACCAGCCGAGCGGCTTCCGATGAATCCAAATGCTTATGCGAAATTCACTGCCCCTCTAGGAAACTAAAACTACCCAGTTAAAAGACTTGTATAGGATTAATAATGAATTAATCTATCAAGAAAATAAACCATTTTCGCGAATGTGCGCAACTTTTTTTGCCGATATCGATTCTTTCGTTTTTGAAACTGATTTGAATTATATTTTTAAAATTACTCATTAGCAGTATCCTCTTTGAGAATTGGGAGAATGGGAAAACAACAAAAAAAAGAAATGAGAAGTAAAGAAGTAGTAGTTTACAATGGGATTCAACAATAAAACGTTTATTGAAAATTCTAATAACTGTAATACACAAGTCATATATGATAAGTAACTGATAGATCCCACACCAGGATACAGCACAAATACAGTCACTGCACATTACATCACATCCTTAGTAGTTTATTATAGTCATGTGAAACTCACTGTAATGAATTACCAGTACATATAACCTAATGAATATTATTTTTTCTTATGCCAGTAATATGGAGTCGTAGTGTTTGTGCTTATATGTCTGCTGGAAAATGAGTTTTTTGGATCTCTCTCTAGTCTATTATTACGTAAAGTTTAATAAACGAGCAGGAGTGTTTTATCAGGTTTAAAACCATGAGGTGTAGTCGATGGTTTAAGATCTGATAAAACACGATCTGCAAGTTTATTGAACGACTTCAAAAACTCATGAATAATTAATGAGCATTTAGGGTCCTTATTCTTGACATGCTCTTGTACTCTTTTGGTCCTTTATAAATATTTCAAAATCTTTATATAAAGATATCCATGTTAATCTGTTATCAGGTATCAAGATCCATGCACGTGATGGATTTGAAGGACCTGATAGGTCTAAATGCTCATTAATTACTTTTCATGAATTTTTGAAAATTATTTTAACAGCAAAAATAGGTTTGTGTGTGTTTTAAGTGTAATTCAAGCTGTATCTTTCAAAGCAGCAAGTAGATTCTCCTAACACAACAAAGATCTTGTAGAACACCATTTTACATGTACAAAAAGAAAAAAATGTCAGGAATGACATTGTATGAAAAGGTTATGATAATGTAAGATGTGTGTCATCATGATTTCATTGGTTCCTGCTGCTGTTCCACTTTATGTCCTTGCTTCTCTAATTCAGCCCTGATAGAGTTAAGAAAAATGCAAATAATATGAGTTAAATGTAGGTAGAAATAAGCAAAAAGTAAAACAAATATCAAATAAAAGAAAAAATATTTAAACTCTTGTTGTAAGAGGAGCAAGATTGAGTCAGTGATTTCTAGCTTTCAGGGTCCATGCTAGGCATCCACTTAAGAGTTAATGAGTATTCAAGAAGTATGCAAGGAGATTCTTCAGCCGTAAGCATGGTTTACAGTAAACAGTGTTTACTGGCCGAACATGATACCAAGCTCGAAACAAATTCCCCTTCCCCAACAGACTTGGGTTTGTTGCCAATCAGAACGCAGTATGTAACGTGACCCGCTCACGCTTTACAACGGCCATTTGAACACAGAAGAAATCAAATATTCGACTTTAAGCCAGGATTTTTCTGGAAATATTTGGCGTGGTGGCATTCAGAATACATGTTATGATAGAGAAATTATCGTTCCTTTGACATGTTGCATTTTTATTGTGGTTCAAGGGGAGAGAGAGAGATTTTTTTTGGATTTYCTAGCGTGATGTAGTCGATATTGGGTGCTAAGTCTCCAGCCTTCCCATTATTTAGGTAGAGAAGAGTGGATTTTGAATAAACCCACTTAACGGCCTCAAATCGCGCTGAAACTTCGCAGAAGACTGAACAAAGTAAAAGCAACGACTGCAACAAGTTTTGAAGCAAATTGTTGAGTGAAACATTTTATTTTCATGACCTTAATCATAACTCCCATACATTCCCTTATAAACCATACACAGGAACCTCGTTTGGGCTGCCTGTGGTTGAACAATAAATGACTTGATGTCAACTATTTTGACTAAATTCACTATAGTCAGTGTTACCTTAGTTGGTTAGAGAAATCATCTTCAACTGTGTCATCATCCCAGTTATCTTCCCATACATGGATATCTTCCTGATCTTCATCTTGTTCAGTCCATTCTATAAAATACAAAAGGTGATCAAGTTGGCAATGGATCATGATAGAACACTGCTAGCCAAAACAGGATTGTTAAAAAGCTCCGTCAAAAACGATGAAGAGAATCCCAATGTTAATAACATATTTTCTTAACTAATAAGCATATCTAACATTTATACCAAAGTTAAAGACAAGCTTGCACTTTCCAGACAAAACCAGTGAACAAAGAATCAAATAAAACTGGATTGAAAGGTAGTGTACCACATGATCAGAGAGATTATAAAAAAGAAGGGAAAAAATCTACTAAGTTTATTCTGGTATCTACTATATTCCTAAGAACAAGGAGCATTTTCTTCTTTCCCAAAAGACGAATGATTTCAACTCAAAATGCTGTCGATTAACAAAAGGCTTTACAAACAGAAATAAACATTCAAAGATGAAAAGCTATTGTATAAGTAATAAAATTGTATGTTTTAGGAACGTTTTTAGCAGTACCTTCAGCAGGGAATTCTTCAAATTCGTCGTCTTCTTCAAACAATCCAACCTCGTTTTTCTTCTGCTGAGCCGCCATCTTGATATCTTCTCCACTTGAAATGTATGACCGCTGACCACTGACTCAGCAAAAACATTCTGTGTTGGGATCCCTGTGTGATTGCTTCAGATTTTTACTTGATGATTGTACGGGGATTGTACGGGTTTGTTTAATTCCCGTTTGTGTAACCATATCACAAAATAAGTCCAATGAAAACATTGTTCTTGCTTCACTTGATACAAATATTAAAAAGTTGATGCGTCCAGTTTCGTACCCAGAGCACACTTGTTTTCTAAACCTTCTTTCCAGTTATCAAAGACCGTATTGGCTTCAAAACTTATTTCCCCCCCGCATATTTTAAGCATATCATTGTCTTAACACAATCTAGAAAAGATTACTTAACACTACAAAAGTCCTTCAGGAGCGGTAATTTTATTTTTTAATGTTCTATAGTAAAGTATTTCTTCAACATCAAAATATACTTTAGATAACTATACAATTTTTTTAGAGCGATGGTACTTAATCCGTGAAATAAAAACAAAATAGGCACTAAATTGCGACTATTAGTTAATAACTATTTTGTTTTTATTTCACGGATTAAGTACCATCGCTTCTATTTATTTGATTTCTTCAACATCAAAATATACTTTAAATAGCTAATTTTATTTATTTATTTGATCAGCGCAAACTTGAATAGCGTCGTAAAACTAAACATGGGGAAGATTGCATAAGACACTCTAGTTGAGCAATAGCATCGCACTTAATCATCAAAGTCGTCAGCGAAGTAGTCAGGGACCTGGGACCAAGCCTTAGGTTTTTCTTCTTCATTTGTTTTCTTCGTTAACCTGGAAGAAGAAGAAATGATGTAAGAAAAATATTCTTACTTCACTGCAAATTTTAGTTCAACAAACCATCATGAATCGAAAATCATGAACCTGGGTACGTAGTTTGATCAGAGTTATTAACTCTGATCAAAACATCATTAACTATTAACTCTAACCAAACTAATATTAACAGAGTTATTAACTGTGGTTGTATGGAAGCGCCATTCCTTGCGCATTTGTTCTTAAAGTTAGCCTTTTGCTAAGTGCTTTTTGATTGCGCAAGATAAAACTCTATCTGAATGCGATGTAAGCAGAATCAAATCATTGAAGGCACCCAGAACTTGAAATTATAAAATACGTAGTAAAGCAAATGGTCGCGCACGCATCAACGCTTCAATATTCGAATGATGTATTGATGTATGCTTTGCTTCTCACCTGGTTTTACTGGCTAGATCAGACGGTAGATACGGGACAGGGGTTGGAGCAGGTGGATTTACCAGTCGATTGACTTGCGCAGATAAGGTTGACGGAGGCACCTTCGATTCTCTGCAAAAAGATAACAAAATTAAACAATAAACAAGACATTTCTTCCAATAAGTGTTTGTAAGCCGAGTTAAGACATTTCTTGTTGGATCGCGAGGGGACATTACTGTAAGGTGTCAAGGCAAACGACACGACCAAAGTACGGAATTGACGTCATTTATTTCTTTCATATCGTACGTTTTTCACTCTTTAGTAAAACTTATTTTGTATTTAGACCCGTTACATACTTTGTGGCAGTGATGACGGTGTTACGCTTTGGCTCGGAGTAGTAACTTATACTTGAACAGTTGTAATGGACAGCCAGCTCGTGGATGATGCGACGCTGGTTTGATTTCATTGGAGGAAAAGAATGTGACTTCTGACCAGACTGTGACTAGGGATAAAATAAAGATAAACAAGTGGTCACAATGAAGAGATAAAATGTCGATCGAGTCAAAAGATTGAATGAATGTGTAAATAAGAAAGTGCGATGGATGGATGGACGAATGGATGAATGGATGGATGGGATGGATGGATGGGATGGATGGGATGGATGGGATGGATGGGATGGATGGATGGATGGATGGATGGATGGATGGATGGATGGATGGATGGATGGATGGATGGATGGATGGACGAATGGATGGATTGATGGTTGGATGGATGGATCGACAGCTTATAAAAGTACATATAAATAATACCTTTTTAGCGATATCAATTATATTCTCAAAAGCTTCTTCCACTGACTGTATGAAGGCTATGTTGCTTCTAAAATCAGTAAAATTCAAGAATTAAGATCTCTTGTTCTACAAAAAATGCTGCATTGCTCCTCTAACTGCAACTTGGCTGCCATATGAAACCCCTTTCATTCAAGCTGCAATCACTGGTTTTCAGAAGATTGCCAAAAATTCTTCGTAATTTGGTATTCAACGAGAAAAATAATTGATAGAAAATAATACATACTTAGCTTCGTTTACTAGGAAAGACGAGTACAGCATGCGGGGTACGTTTAGAGCTGCTTCGGTACTTTCATCAATATGAAGGGCTTCAGCAAAACGTCTGCAAACAAAAATCATTGCCATCATCAACGTCTAACATCATTCATCACAATTATCATCACATCTACCATATTTGTGAATATTTTGGATATCAACTTAACAATACTGTAGCTGTTATTACAGTTGAGCTCGCAATGATTTTTTTTTGTTTAAGAATCATACAAGTGAGGCTATTGGGTCGATACAGTGCTTGTTGTCTCATTTGCATGCTTCTGCTTATATGCTATTTATAACAGAATCATCATCATCAATGCCATTTATAAGCTCGTCGCAAGTCGACCTCTCTTTCCTCGCACAGGAGATTCTTATTCAAGCGACAGAGTTGCGCGCCAGCACCAGATATTCAGAGGACAGAAGATTTTAGATGTCATTTGTCAACATTAGTAGAACACATAATACCTATATTACTTTGCCTAAATATACCAACCTGTTTCTTTCTTGCACCGCACATTCTTCGTTACAATCAATGCTAGAAAATATGTATCATATATAGATGATATACAAATTTTGAAGATAACGAAAGTATATAGAAGAACTAGAGTGGGGTTGCACATTTTTTTTTAAACATAAATACTAGCGTGCAAATCATTTTGTGATGCATTGTTTGATACTTTAAACAAATTTGGATTATGAAAAATGCATCAACTCACTGTTTTGTAGCTTTGTCATCGAGCATCATGAGTCTAGCAATATCCACGGTTTGTCCTTGCTGCACTTCTTTCATCTTGTTGGCCAAGGTTTCTGTTGTCAAGCTAATAGAAAAAGTGTCATTCAGTTAGAATGGGGGATCAAGAAAACTAAATATATGTTACTGCTACAATATCAGCAGGGTCCAATCAATGTTAAGCAAGTCTRCCCTCTCCTCCCACATATTGTGTCCCACCTTCTTTTCCTTCCCCCTTCTCTACTTGTTTTCCTTTTCCCTTCTCAAGCACTTCTTCCTCTGTCTCCTCCTCCACTCTCCTCTTACTCCTCCCTCCCTCTCTCCACCTTCCTCTACATTCTCCTTCTTTCTCGCTCCTTCCTAACTTTTCCTTTTCCCTTCTCAACCACTTCTTCCTCTATCTCCTCCTCTTCCTTCCCTTTCCTCCTCCTTCCCTCTCCTCCTCTCCCTCTTCTTACTCCTCCCTTCTTCCCTCTACCTTCCTCGCCATACTCCTTCTTTCTCTCTCCTTCCTCTACCTCTTCCTTTTCCCTCCTCAACCACTTTTTCCTCTATCTCCCCCTCCTCCTCCCCTCTCCTTCTCTCCCTCTTCTTACTCCTCCCTGCCTCCCTCCAACTTCATCTCCATTCTCCTGCATACATATTTGTTATTTACCGTTGGTAGAACTGAGCCAAGGCAGATTTGTCTCCACCTTGAAGACAAGGAACCATTTCTGATCTTCTGCCGCATTTACAGGAGACTTTTACCTGAAACAATGACATCCAGAGAAATGAGAGAGGAAAGAAAACATATAAAGCATAGAAAGTGTTTACAAGTGAGTTAAAGCATATGGTGCCTCAGTTGCTTCCTTCAGAATTTATCCAATTGTTTATATTCATCCATTCATCCACTTATATTTGGTCCATCCATTAATCCATGTTTTTTCATGTAACCCTCCATACACCCAACCCTCCAACCACTATAGTTTTCTGATACAGCTTCAAACAAGTGATTAACTTGTACCTTTACTTTACAGGGCAGTACTGGACAAGGTGTTCCCTTATGGCAAGGTGCCCCACATATGTGACCACATTCTTTACGTGGTTCGTTGCATGGTTGGGTACATGGCTCTTGATCATTAACACATGGGGGCTGAAAAATATCAAAGAGAAAGGAAAGTAAAAATACAGAAAAAAAAAGGAAACCTTTCTTGCAAAAACAAGAAAAATGTTTTGTGAAACAGAAAACCGAAAATGGAAAGAAACAGAAGATATAATTAAAAAGAGTATATAGATTACCTAAAAGAGTTTATTAACATAATCATTGATAGAATTTTTGGATGAGGTTATATAATTTTACCTTGTGGCACAGATTGATGCATTTGTGTCCACATGGAAGAATAGAGCCACATCGTTTACCACACGACACGTCTGTCACATGACATTGTACGTTCAATCGCAGCTAAAAATAGCAATATGACATTAATGTTTCTGAGTACGGCATGGTGAAAGCTTTAAAAAGCTCAATAAATAATAATTTAGATCAATTTTATTGTAAATATACAAAAATATTTTATAAATATGTATTGCACTATGACAAAACTCCCTACCGTAACCCCCTAGGGGAAATGTAAGAAGGGAGAGTTACGGGAAAAAACCACGAGGAGATAGAAAAGATAAGCGATCAGTTGTCTAAGCTGTGATTCTAAGTTTGATTTATGAGAAATATATACATAATTTACTCCATCTGAATCCCCTACAGATTTTGTAAGTATTCAATCGTTAATACTTTGATTTTATAGAAATGTTTAAGACAAATTTTCACATATTTTGTAATCGTTATAATTTTCAGTTGACACTCACCTACCTAACTTGACCTTAAGCCAAGTTCACATCGTCCAGAAAATTAAAGGTTTTTGACAACGGAGTAACAGTGTAGTTTGTAAATCAAGTAGCGCCCCAACACGAGGGAGTGAAACAAGATAACTTTAATATACTTGCAAAGTGCTTTAGAACTTTAGGAAAAGGTGCTATATAAAATCATCATCATCATCATCATCATCATTATTATTATTATTATTATTAATAGATGCTGTTCCCTGCCTCCAGCCCTTACCCTTGCTACTTACTTCATGGTTGCCACTACACATTTTCTTGGTTAATACAGTACAAGGAGGGCAGACCTCTTCATTATGACATAAATGATTGACTGCAAAATGGAAAGGGATAATAATTACAAATTATTTGTAATTCTAGATTATCCAACTATTGGAAGAATTATATTTTAGGAGTGATGTTCCTGATGCATTTTTACAGCAAATACTAGGTATGTTTAACATCTCTAAATAGTAATATCATAATAATCAGTCTGTGAGACATGCCTCCAACCAATGTATGTGCTTATAGGTCATGGCAAAGGTCTAAACATTAAATTGAGAGGGAGTTATCTTTTATATTATAGCAAAGATAGCACTACCTTCTACTCCAATATTTTAAGAAAATGCCCGGCGTATTGTTCCAGCCTGTCATTCTTCACGACAGATTCAGGTACATGTACCCAATCAAGCAAACTGGGGTCAGTTTAGTAATTACAAATATCGACCAATCAAAATTCATCATGTAAATATTAAACAAATATACACATACCTTGGTGTGAGCATGGATGCTGTCTAGAGCAAGGCTTGGTACAGTCAGGTGGTGGGGTCCCACATGGTATGGGTGGGAAGAGTACTGTAGCACCACAGTGACAAGAAAGTTCCTCAAAACCTCAAAGAGATCAGAAAAATATCAAAGCTTGGCAATGGAGAATGATACCATTCATTATATAATAACTCTTATGAATCTTGCTTTGTAAACTAATTGGTTGGGGGCCCATGCTTTAGGAGAGCACTCAGCATGCAAGAAAGTTTTTAGTTGCGTCATTCCTACTCAAAATTATAAAGGTTATTGTAATTTGTATTTTGCAAAAGAAATAAAAAACTTGCTTGAGCACTAGTGTGCTGTGTGGAGTTATAATATAAAGCACTTTGGGATTGGTAGAACACTTTAGGAGTGTCTAGAAGCACTCTTTATCCGCTACAGGTCTGTGTTCTACCAACCCCCTGTGTGCTTTATAACTGCACACATCATGGGCGACCATTTTCTATTTCTACAATATATTATGTGTACTTACTTGTCATRAAGCATGGAGGACAGTAACCCCTGTGACAAGGTTCATCACAGGTATGGATGCCACAGCGAAGCTTCTTGCCACAGATTAGCTCACATTTGTGGTCCTTATTCTGCAACCAAAATGTTAAATATACTAATAATGTACAGTAGGGATAAATCTGAGCCTCTGAGTCTCAAATCTTCCTGTAAAGGTGGCCCTTAAATAATCTAATTTGAGGATTCAAAACTTGACAGGTTTTTGAGCTACCATAGCATCCCAATGAGCACCATGACCACTACATTTCATTATTACTAGCTCAAAGACTACATATTTGCCAATTTTTAGAAAAAATTATTGACAAAATATTTGCAAGATCACATTACCTATATAACATTATGTAAATCATTACTCTTATTAAATAAAAACTAGTCTTACCACACAACATTTCTGGTTACACCTGTGGCGTCCACATTGCCTCTTCTTGTTGCAACGTTGATCACACAAATAATCTGTACAATGATTGTGCAGACATTTTAGAAATATTTTTCAAGAGTGATGTCTTTGATTTTAAAATTGTGGGTTAATTTTCATATTTGCAACAAATTTTCAAGGACTGTTTACATGCAGACTTCAGTTCAGTCTTGTGACAATGTGACAGCAATAAAATACCTTCAGTAGTTCTTTCACAGCACTTGATTATCTATAATAATAAAGTTAAAAACATTTATCTAACATTAAAAATCAAGAACATTTTAGCTGGCTAATGATGGACAAGTGTTGAAACCACAACCAAAGCTGTAAGAGAATGTGCAGCACACATAACCCATATATATAACCCCTTAGTCCAGATATCGCCCCTGTCTTGAATGTGCACAGTGTGCTGCTGCCCCCCCATAAAAACTCCAGCGTCTTTACTCAATCATGTTAGCTATAATGAAACCAGTAAAATAGGTGATTATGTACATTATGATCAGCCTGTTGGCCAATCATCAGTCCAAGCAACACCAACACTTCACCAACACTCACTTAATTTAACTCCATATCATGAAGTTGGAAAGATTTACAAAAGATTTACACCTAATTTTTCAAATCAACTTACCTTTGTAGCAGCCCCACACCTACAAACTACTACAGATACACCATCGCAAGGACCACAATTACCATGGTGACATGGTTCTTTACAGCGATGCTCTGATGATGAATTAGATTTATCGCCTGTGGATATAAAATGATTTCATTTTTCAAAATATAATTATGGGGGGAATATCTCCCAGAGCTTAAAATAACAGCAGATCATTGGACAATGTTGGGCCAAAATTGGAAATTGTCCAGTCAAATCTTTACCTTTCCACTCATTTTGAGCAGCAACATTGAGCCACAGGTGACTGACGGCCATTATTTTAAGCCCTGTTACTCATACCCTATACTACCCACTTCCCTCTGAATCCCCACTTTGCAAACATGCATTTTCCTCACCTTCCTTGGGACTACAAGGCAGGATTTTTCCACATGTTTTTTCACAAGTTGGTACTGGATCTAAGCATGACTCTCTCTGCCCATCTGTTCCCAGTAGCTGTGAAAGAGTTGTCTTGCCACATGGACATGTAACGATCAGCTCAGGTTTGAGTTTACATGGAGCACAGTCACCCTTGTGGCAGACTGCATCACAGGTATGGTTACCACAGTCTAGTGTCCTAGGATACATGATTTAAAAAGATCCTTTAGATACAAATTCCCTTATACAAATTATAAGAAATACAATTATTAAGAAAAAGAAATGTGGGATTGGAGGGAATGAGATTGGGGTGAGATTGGAGGGGTGAAGGGGTGGGATTGGAGGGATGGCAATTGAGGGGTGGGATTGGAGGGGTGGGATTGAAGGGATGGGATTGGAGGGATGGGATTGGAGGGGTGGGATTGGAGGGGTGGGATTGCAGGGATGGGATTGAAGGGGTGAGATTGGAGGGATGGGATTGGAGGGATGGGATTGGAGGGGTGGGACTGAAGGAGTGGGATTGGA